AAGTTTGTTGGATGTATTTCATGAGTGTCTGTCATAGTTGTGCTGCTAACTTTAAGAGGGTTAAATATCCTTATRTATTATAATTATAAAATAGAAACACATTTTTTGTATGTACACGAATATATCGAGAAGTACTGTAGGTATGGATTTTAATACGGTTTTCACTACCTAATAGATTGGATGTCACGGAGAGATTTTAAAATTAATTGGGTAAAAATGATAACATATAAGTAAATAATTYAATGCATTACATCGTACTCAGGAGTCAGGKGTCTTGGATTCGAACTATAAACACTACCATAATATTTGTTTTGCTTAGCTTATATTCTATTATATAGTAACAGAGGCCCAAACAAATTTTCTTTGAAAAAAAAAAAGCAAAACCGGTATTACCTTGTTACCATGTAACGCCGTGTCCTACACGAATCCGACGAGTGCGACTCGGGCGAACGAATTCTATTCTGACCATGCTGTTCTGTCGCAACTCGATGCGTCCGATGCGACAAAATATACAAACTGTTTTGTTTTTCGTCGCGTATAGGTCGGATTCACGTAGGACACGGCGTAAGTCTGATAAATCTCGAGGAAAGTTAATTGATGAACAATTGTCTATCGTTAAAATTGTCGATGTCTAGTAAATAAAAAATATATATATTTAGCCACCCAATTAATTCTTCCAAAACCATCCCGGCCAAAATTCGTAGAGTACACACAAAAAAAGGTCTTCTATTTTATAATATATCCTAATAAACTATTGATTCATTTATTTTAAATATTGTARGTATTAAAAAGTTCGCCGAGTCGGCTAATTATGGCTACCAGGATGGTTGAGTTGCACCTTGACACTGAGTTATACCCAAAATGAGTTAACCAATCATAATTATTTGGAGTTGKTATTTTTGCAGGTAACGAAGTTGGCGGGATCAACTATGAACTGGTTATATAACTGATATACCTTATATTTATATCATTATACAAATTGTTCGAGGACATCGGGAATCGGAGGTAAGATATATGGTTTTATATCGAGTGGAGTTGGGTCGTTGGGTGGGAATAATGTCATTTGTGGCCAATAAATGTTGCAACACGGAGCGCATTGTGCATACATAATTAATAAAATGTATATTATTCCCAGAAAATAATAAACCAAATTATAATGCTATTTATCATTGAACGTTGTACCTTGTAGTGTACATACAATTGCTGTAACCTAAAATCGTTGGTCGTCGCTCATAAATTATAATAAATAATGTGAATGATATCAATACACCACATATTATTATATTAACTTTTCATCATAATAATAAATTATGAATGCTACTGCGACGTCGTGTATCGGATAGTTCTACATAATATAGTGTATTACACAATAATACAGTTTGTTATCGAATAAACATAGTGAAAAACGACCGGCAACGGGAAGCATTTTAAGCGCAGATTACGAGCGTTTGGCATTCTCCCACTGCGCCGGACGCGATAAATTCTGTACAATATTTTCATCGCCATTACACGAAATCACAATATCACATTACGTTTTTGCGGTCGTGTGGCTGGACGGTCGGCCACGTTCCCGATCGGTGGCGTAATCGCGCGTGCAACAACAACAATAATAATAATAATAATATTATAATATTGTTGTGATCTTATACGATCTTACGGCGCGATACGACCGCGGAGCCCGTGTTATGACTACAACTCATAACAACTATTATCGCTTTGTGCTGTTATATATTTACGKCCGAAACCGGTTGTGCTTCAGAGGGGATCGCGGATTCGCGGCGGCGGTGGAGGTGCGCGCGAAAGGCCTCGCGTTCTGGGTTTTCAAATTTCCACCACTACTACCGAGTGCCAATGATTGCGACGAGTCGACGACTGAATAGTGAATAATATTATTGTTACGTACCTATCCACCTACCTACCTATAGGCGCCGAATAGTAGAATAGCGACGATTCACGATTGACGAAATATTTCACTAGTCGTCGTACACACGTAGTTCGTGTCTGTGTGTCGTAGTGTATTGTGCTGCACGCGGTCCGCGTTTCTTCCCGACGGTAAAACCACTAAAACCTAACATAATATTGCCACTTTGTTTTGTAAAATACCTGCGAGTTAATACAACGATTTAATTTCGCTGTTAAACTTTTTATGGTCGCTAATCGACAAATAATAGTCCACCGAATACCACCGAAACCTACCAAGCTGCGTCGTCGTGTCGCATTTCGTTTGCAGTTGACTGACTGACGCACGTCCGATTTTTTAGYTTTCTGTCTTCTCGGCGACACGGAACTTCGCATTTACGCACTGACCGACCCTCACGAATGTGATATTATTACGATGTACGACGTCTAAACGGCGTACAACGAACAGATGATGATTCTGCTTCGGCCTCCGTGCATCTCATTGTACCCGGAACTAGGCAGWTCTAGTCGGAGGATCATGTCCGCRCCGGAAGCTCCAAAGTTGTCTCAGGGATGAATGCGCCCCAGTCATCGTTCCATCGACAGCGATGCGCACACCGAGTTCGTTGAAGAAATGCCGCTATTTGCGTACCACAGACTGCCCAAGTAAGTTTTCCTACCTGTGGTGATGATGATGTTAAGATAATTACTTTTGTTTATTAGTAATTAATTAGTTTACGTGTTGTTGTCGCGGTGTTCGGGAAGTGCTCGTGAGAGACAACCGCAAGTCGCAACCGTAATCGTTATATATATTTCTCGCGATTTTTTGTCTTGTAAAATGTGAATTTAGTTTACATAAAGTATCTTGTTTTTGTGTCGAGGGGGAAGGAATTTTTAATATTTATTATTAGTTTACACACCCTCCCTTTTCAAATAAACCAGAAACATATTTGTATAAATTATAGTATTT